AATACTTGAATTATTTTTACAAGCTCTTAGGGACCAGGAGAAAATAAAAAGTACAAATTTCATATCCTTTCTGGAATAAACTTTTAGCTACAGAAATGAAAATAAGTTCACGATGCACAAAGTCATATTTCTAGTGACACATTTTCAGGCTGTATGGATGGTGAAAATCTGTCCATGCTTTCCACATGAAATAGAAATAAACAAGGGCCACATAAAGGTAAAAACTAACTTAATTTATACGCTTTTTGAGGAAAAACTCAAGACTTTTTATTCATTGCTTTAGAAATTATGAATAGGGGAAATAAATTATCTTAAATGAAGCAAATAATATGCTTTATATTATAAACAATTAAAATACGATGGCATTTGAAGATCCCCTCCACATCTGAGATTAAATGATTCTATGAACTGAACACAGAAAGATGAGGGACAAGAGAGTGAAAAAAACCGGAAAGTACAAGAGCTATAAAGAAACACCTTCCCCCAGGCACACAGCCTAAGAAGGAGCGGAGACACAGGGACAGGGACATAAAGGCGGAAGACAGCACATTCAGATCCTGGCTCCCCCATCCAGGCTTCTCCCTCGGTCTCGTTCCACAGCGCAGTCTGGTGTTTGTGTCTGAACGTCCAGTGGCCTCATAGTATACTTCTTCTAAGGACTTTTAAGTTATCCTGTTTTCCTAACTAGACTGAATTGACTTGAGAATCACTGGTCACATGCTTGCCTTACTTTACAGCTTGAGTTGGAGTAAAACTCTGGTTAATAAAAAACTTCCAGTTTTATAGTTCCTCTTCGGAATCTTGATCACAAATTTCCTGAGGCTGTCTCTTAATATTGATTACCAAATCAATGGTTAAAATTTTTGTCAAACACTGAAGAACTGAAGTTAGTAACTGGTATTTACCAACTACCGATTCCAAGCCTGTCTGCCTGCTTCCCATGGGTTGACCGGACTGCAGTGCGTGGAGCGCTCTTACATACATTTGTGGAAAGCTGTAATTTCCTTTCTTAGACTTATGCAGGATTTTGGGAATGCCTAAAAGTGCATTAGCTACTATCACACCAACAGTGGCTTCTTCTGATTGCTGGCATATTTTGGCATAGTTGAGAAGATAGAAATGTAACAAAATCTCAAAATTACCACCCACCGGCAACACACTCCCTGCTGGTATAGATGAGAAACAGTAACTCCGGGAAGGACACATCTCTCGGGACTTGTATCTCACTGGTAACATGCTCCCCTTGCCAGCAATTTTTGTGACCTGTAAATTTTCATAAGAAATTTTTATTCTAGTATTTTCTGTTGTTGAATTAGCAGAATTACTCTCAGGAAATGGTTCACGGTAATCAATTATCCCAGTTTTGTTTGGAGATAAACATCTCAATGTTTCATTTGTCTGATATGTATCCATTGGTGTCACTTTTGGTGTTGAACATGGAAAATGTTTTTCTAATTCTATACTTGGAACTACCAAATTTGAATATACTTTTAAATATGTTTGAGGTTTTGCCAGTTTATCTTTGTTCTTTACAACTGTGCCCTGATATGGCCTTTGTAGTGAGCCATTAACAATTTCTGGTAACTGATTACTTTCTCTACTATTCTTATAAATAAGAGGACTTGATGTATAATTTTGGTCGCTGGCTTGTGTCAAGTAGTTTAGATCCAGGTGTTTAAATAGCTGCCGAAGCATTTTAAATGCTCCATGTAAAGCATCTTTATGTTGTTCAACAAGACCTTGTACTGGTCCACAAAGAACTAGACAATGTGGTGCAAAGGAACATTTGCTAATCAAGCCAAGATGAACATACCTTTTGGATCTAAGGACAAGGGGCTTACAAAATTTCACCACAGCAGTGTTAGAGATTTCACACCGTGAAGAGGCCTGCGGTAGTACACAGGGAGAAAGATCAATGACCCTCTGGATAAGAGAAACTTCTTCAGATGATAAACACTCCACCACCGATATGTCATTCAGTCTTGCATAAAAAATCACTGAGTCTGGTTGTTTCACACTAGACAGGAGCAATTTTACATTCTGACTCTGCAAATGTTTCATTATTGCTTTTGTCCTTTCCATAATCCAAAACTGAGATGCCCGAAACTGTGCTTCTGAATTTAGAATAAACTCTGATCCGGAAGTTGAAAAAATAGGCTGAATGGTTTCTGTTACTAGCGCTATTCTTATGTCACCATCTGCTGGACAGTACCCAGAAAAGTCTCTGTGAAGCACAAGCCCAGCTACGATCCTGGAATCTGAAACAGGAAGGCCGGTGACACCAACGTTCAGCTCTACAAAGCAGTCACCCACCAACTCAAACACTTCTTCAAACCCGCCTTCACGAGCCACACACTTGAACAAGTAGTCACACATCAACTGTGAAATAAGGTTGTGATTATTTCTTCCCACTCTTCCACAAAAGTATGCTTCTAAGAGCAACTCTAAAGAGTTCCTACACAATGTTCTCTCTTTAGTGGATGAAGAAAAGATGGACAAAAAGTGTCTACTTAAGTATTCGTCCATAACATAGTCTAATATTTGTGTCTGAAACGTTAGAAGAGCTTGGGAAATAAATTTCCACCGACAACAATTTTTCCAATGCCTTCCAAGGGTTTGAGAATTTTCGGAAACCAAAGAACCGTTTTCTTGGTCTGGGATTGCGTGAAGTCCTCTGAGTAAATGGGAGAGAAAGATGATGAATGTTTTAGCACCATCTCCTGCTTTTCTTAGATGATTGGAAACACATGCCACCATCATCCTGTACAAAAAAAACACAAAGCAACTCAGATACTCAGAAGGCTTGCCTTCCTAGATCTGGATCAAGTCGAAACCATGTTTTCACAGCTATAGGCATAAAATGAGAACACTGTTCCTTTGATGTCCTTAGTTTTAGCGTTGCTTTTTTCAAGTTACTTTGTTCTATTTCAAGATTCTAGAGATGGAGGGGGGATGAGAGGAGAGAGAATTGCTCCTGGGAGTTGGTAAAATTTGACATCCGGGAGCGTTCCGTTGAGCAGCGCTCGACACCCGCGAGTACACTGGTCTCAACCAAGGGCAGTTTTCCCTGGAGCACAGCCTCTCGGACAAGTTTAGGGAGAAGGCCAGGGGTGCCCCTCTATGCGCTGGAGAATGGGACGCTCTAACGGTCCGGAGCGTGGGATGCGGGGACCTGGCTATGGGACGCTCTAACGCGCTGGAGCGCAGGACGCCGGTACCTGGCTATGGGATGCTCTAAGTGTAGCGCCTGCAGGAGGCGGCCTCCATCCCGGCTGAGCAGCACCTCGCCGGTGGGCTTCGTACACAAAACCTGCCGGCCGTCGGGCCCCACACAGCAGCTCACGATGCTTTCCAGCGCTTCCGCCACCTGCAACGCTGCCTTCACAGACGCCGCAGCGGCCATATCCCTTCGGCTTCTGGCCGCTGCGGATCACTGCTTGCAAAGCCTCAGGACGGCCAGGAGGGGGCGGGCGGGGCCCGGCCGGAAGCGGAAGGGGCGGGGCGGACACCGGAAGCCGGGGCTGCTCGGCTTCTTGGTTGGGCGAGGGGGCTGCTCTTCCGCCGCAGGCGGCCGGGCAGTTCTCTAGCTAGCCAGCGGAGAGGGCGCTGAGGGCTTCCGGGGCTGTGCCTGGGCGGAGACTCAGCGCCGTCTCAGCTCCGCAGGGGCACTGTTCCCCTCCATTGGCTTCAGCGGCCGCCAAACCCCTCGTCTCCCAGGAAGCTCCCGCCTCTGGAAAGGTCGGCCGATCTTGGAGGGAAGGGCCCGCGGGAGGGCCGGCCGCAGCTGCGCGTCCGGCCCGCTCTCCGTCCTTCCGGAAGCGGTCCCGTGCGCTGGCCTCGCCGTGAAACGCGGGCCGGCACGAGTGAGTTCCGTGGCAGAGGCGCCGCTGGGCAGGCTCCGTGACAGTGGTGACCGGTAGTGCGCGCGAACACGGCGGCTACGGTCCCCGGCTGCGCTGCGGCGGCGGAGCGGCCGTTCCCTGGACTGCACAGGCGCGCGCTCAGGGACGCAGCGGTTAAGGGCAGGGGCCTGAGATTGGGACCCGGGTTTGCTCTGCCGTTGACTTCGCTGTGACGCTCAGCAGTAACCTCTTTCGTCTCCACGTTTCTCGTCTTAAACAGAACGGAGCTAGAGCTGTACGCGGTTTGGAGGCGGGGAGGCCGTGGGCACGGCGCGCCGGCCCCCGAGCCGCGGCCCCGGGGCAGCCCCTCCGCGGGAGAGGGCGGGGGTCGGGGCGGTCGGTGTTCCTGGGAAACGCCGCCCCCTCTCGCCGCTCCGGGGAGGTCGGGCCGCGAGGGGCCGTCTTCCCGCGCACAGGGCGGGAGCGAGCTGAGGCCCCCCTCCCCGGTTAACGGGCGGCGGCGGCCCCTGAGGACGGCAGCGCGAGGGGAGGAGGAGGAGGGAGAGACGGCAGCCAGGGAGGAGTGGGTGCTGGGAGCTCATCTGTGCTGACCCGGCGTGGACGGATAGGTGACTTGAGGGGAGAACTTCAGATGGGCTTTGTAGATAGGCCTGTTTAACAGTAAGGTTCGTTTTTTATGGTTCTACCCATCACAAAGGGGTTACATTACTCGGTATAGATTTGGGTAGTGGATTATTCCAAACGCTTAAAACGCTCCGATCCGAGTTCTGTTTACTGTACCGTGGAAAGAGAACGGACACTGAAGTCAGACGTGGATTAAACTTGTGCTGGCTCGCTCTTACTGTGGCTTTTGGAATCACTTCACTTCTCTGGGCCTCAGATGCTTCATCTATAAAATCGGGCTGACTTCCACTTACGGTTACTCGAGTCCTCGAGAAGAGTTATAAAGAGAAGTTAAAAAATTATAAAGAGAAGGCTATAAAGCACCAAGGAAAGCAGACCTTAGGGGTCTAGCGGGTAAACCCTGCCAAGCCTGCGCCATCGTCACAACAACCCCCCTCCCCCAGTTTTTTTTTTTTCAATTTAAAAATTAAGAAATTTAGTCACCATGTTATATGCAAAGTCATCTGATCACAGTTTGCCTTTTTTAAAATTTTATTTAGAATGCCTACTTGTAGAAGTTAGCATAATTTTACAGGTGGTTAGAAAAATTCAATTCTTTTGTCTCTGCAAACATTTATAATAGGTTAGGAATAATAGATTAGAAATGTAATACATTACAAAACAGTAGCCTATGACTATCTGTACATTTACTATAAACCTTAAGGAAAAGAATTTGACAGTGTGCTGTACTTACACTGCAGATAACATACTTTTATTCTATTATACAAAACTGACCAGTGGTAGTTTTTGAATTTATAAATGACCATTAAACAGGATATTTAACTTAGATGTATATTTAGCATGCTAAAAAGTGAAAAAAATGTCAACTGAAGTTCTGTGGCTCATCAGTTCAAATGTTTCGTGGCATTTTTCTTTAAATAAGTTTCAATATTGTAATATAAAGTAATTTTACATGATAAATGCAGAAAGATAAAATTTTCTAAATATTTTAGAAAGTATATTCACATTCACTTTGTCATGGGTTTCTTGTGGCTCTTCTAAATATGTTAATCATATGAAGGAGACACTGGTCCTATCCGATTTTAACAGTCCATCTTCAATTAAAAACTAACAAAACAAATAGTATGTTAGGAGTAACAAAAAGTAAATGAAATATACTAAATTCACCCAATTGGTAAACAAAATGAAACCTAATTACACAACAGTGGCAGGTTATACATTTTAAAGATTCTCTATTTCCGTGTAGTCAAAAAAGATAGCAGTTGAAATGTAAACAGTGATTTGTGTGGGGTTCCCCCCATTGGTTCAAGTTGGAAAATTTGGTATCAATGCTAATTTTAGTATTTGATTTCTGTACATTTGACATAATTCAGAATAATCTGCAGCATCATGTATGGCTCATCAGTAATGCCACCATCCCTGTATGTCAAACAAAAAAACCAAAAATATATTCATTGCTCACTAGAAATGCTAAACACTGGAAAAATGGAATTTTATACATTTTTCTTAAATATTTGACTAAGATATTCTTCAAAAAGTTAAAATTGCCTTCCACAGAATTTTGTGTATATGGCACAAGTTGACACCCAAAACTGTGAATTCCATCAAAAAGGCACTGTTTACAATACTCAGAATAATCTGACAAGTCTATTTCAATGACGTCTGAGAGTGCAGAATTTTTGAAATAGGTAAATAGACAAACTCTTATAAAAGTACAGCATTAAGTTTAAATATACTATAGCTATATAAAAGGAAATAAAATGACAGAGATATGACCCTTTTATGACAATTAAACCAATAAACACTTTGAATCATATTATAGTTCTATAACACAAAAATGACAATATTTTCTTAAAGGCACAAAAGCGTGAATACTAAATGAGGGTTGTATTTTACAAGGCCAACTTTTTCAATGGAATGGTGACAAAGATTACACTGTACCTTTATAAGCGATACACAAAAGTACTGACATGAAATACAAGTAAAATATCTATTGCTGAAACTTATTTCATAAGCCCTATTTATCGTCTTTTCCTGGGCCAGCCACATTTCACTACATGGTCGATAACTGAAGGCATAGTACACATTCAACAACTAAAACAGAAATGCGCATGTCAATAATTACTACTCACCTAAATTTTCATGTGAAAAAATAAAATTTTTGATCAAATGAGAAAAACTGGTCTTAGTCTTAAATCCTAGAAGACATCATGAGGTTCTCAGACAAGTGGGAACTAAATCATGTTTATGAATCCATGTGTGAAGGAAGGTAAATTTCAGATAGAGAACATTCCAAGTCAATTACCTATGGGGCTAAATACAAGATTATGTGTTCTAAAGAGTTCACATACTAAGCCTAGTGTAAGCACAGGTACTGCTCTAAAACGAAGCCACCGATTCCTGAGTTTTGTGTTCAGTTCACAGAAAGGAACTCATACAACTAAAAGCATAAGGAGATTATTACATTAGATAGATGACTTTAGTGTATAAGAAACAGTCATGAGTTACCATGCTTTTTCTCATGAAACAGTTTTGATTTCTTGGTTTAATAAGAACTCATAACATATGCTCTAAAAAGAAAATAAAAAAATAACCATCTTTCCAATCTTAGAAGAGACTCAAACAAATAAAACACTATTTAGACCAAATGACAATAACCCACAAGTGGATAAGACTAAAACCCCAAAGTGGGGGGTTACCACCAAAAAAATTTTAAGTTTTCAGAGTTTAATGATGAAATAATTTTTAAGATCAGCCAATCGTTATATATAAATACTAATTTAAACCATAAAAAAGATCAAGATATACAATATTTACAAATATCCTATCAATGAATAGGCAGTTGAGAATAACGTTGGTAAGAGAAAAGTGAGTGTAAAAATTATATTGACAATTATGAAATACAAACAAAAACTCCCACCTGTTTTAGTGTAGTCATACCTATACTGGGTACAGGTATACCTTATTTATGTTTTAATCAATTTAAAAAATGTTTTCACGTGTACATATGGAATACATTGTTCTGCCAAAAATACATGGCATATTGCTCTTCATAAAACCTAAGGATACTTAAAATAGCTATATTGGTTAGGGGAAAAAAAGCAAGCTCTTTTCTCATTTTCAGTTTTCATAATTTAACAATCATTCCTTGATTTTATATTTATCATGGCATAAATAGTTTAGACTGTCATTTTACTAGTGTCTCACAATCTCTTCTTTGTCAAAGGCAAATGGAGCCAGAGCAATTATTCTCTCCGGCCTTCATTTTTCATTAATAACCACTTCAAAATCTATACTTTCAGGATTCTAAGACATCTTAGGACATGTTCCTAAGCTTAACTACACTTGCAAAAATTGCTCTTGAGGACTATGAATACTTAAGTAAAAACATAAAATAAAAATATTAAACTGAAAAAAAATTAGGAAAAAGTTTGCCTGAGCCTGAACAAAGGGATCTTGAAGAATTGTGGTTTTGCCACAGAATGCAGTTATTAAGAACAGAGAAGGATAATAAAGAATTAAACTTCAGAACTTGATGCTCAACTTATTGGTCATTTTAAAGAAACCAATTTTAAGTACACAGAAATGCCACCAAACAAAGTGTCTTTTCTTATCGCCTTTCTCTTATTTGGCTTTTGAAGTAAAATATTGGTTATAATGTTTTCTATTCTACTCATTCACTGAACACACTAGGGGCTAAATGAGAGCTAAATAAGTTTTTCACAATGAAAAAACATGAATTATCAGCATTTCATATGCCCTATAAACATCTCTAGAATTTGGCCTGTGTGTTATTGGACCAACTGAGTTTAAAAGAAACAAAAATAAAAAAGGACAGTAATCAATTTTGACCACGCTTTTTTCAGTAAGTGCTTAAGGTGGTATTATATAGGTTTGATAAGAAATATATAATCAGTAGATCCAAGTAGCTCCATACTAGTTTATGTTGATATACACATAGGTACATTTATGCTTCTATCTATAAATATTAAATTCTAGGGGTTAAAAAAATTCTTACGTAAACTTTTAAAAAAGCAATTTGCTACCTTGTCTCTCTCAATATGTCAATTTTGACCACAGTTCGTTCTTGCTGTTTCTAAGAAGACACTTGAGCTGGGTGCCTTGGAAATGATTTTTTTTTAACACTACAGTGTATTGAACTATTTATAATATGTCTGTTATCCCATCATTTCTCATTCTGTTTCGTGTCTGTTTTATGAAGAAAATAGATTACTATGCACAATATTTGTAAGATTGATACATATTCCTTATGAACAACATTAAGCTATATCTCAGAACACACTATAGAATACAAAGACTACTGTCGGGTATACGTAAGACACAAGTATGTATACATGTGGATTTATTATACTCACATGTAGACATATTTTCACAAAAGCTAGAAATGTTCTGGCACTTAACACACAGCTCACGTTAATAACCCAATAGCATAGCTCTTGTTTCAGGTCAAGGATAAAAGGTATGAAAAGTCAACACCTCTACATTTATCTCTAAGGTTTTTTGTTTTAGAAATATGGTGACATTTTAATAAAGACCAAACCAACTTGAACATTGGTCCCAGGCCATATCTGATCATTCGAGTTCACTGATTCAACCGTAAAGAACTTCTACTTAAACATGAAGTTTATTATGACTTGAAGCAAAATCAGGAGGAAAATGATGAAGTAGTCTTTTTGTTGCAGAAAATCCGTGGCAGGTGTGCTTGAAACTAAATGATTTCGAAGAGCCATAATATTTCTAAAAAAATAAGCAAGAATAAATTTTAAAATTATCTGTAAAGAATGTTAGCATAGAACTCACAGTTTGATATATGGTTAAGTAGCACGCAATTACGTTATCTAAAGTAACTAGTTGAATCAATTACTACAACCTGAACAGGGAGCTGGTGGTGCCATGTGGAGCCATTATCAGGTCCTGTCTAAATCTGTATTCTACATTGCACCGAATGTCACCTAGTGACGTGCATCAAAAATAATTAAACTTTGATGACATAGAAGTATATCGCCTTCTCTATTATCACGGTAGTTTTACAACAATTTTGCTGCTTAGTTGGCCTACTAAGGTTCTTTTATCTTTAGGGAGATAGAGGTAGAGTTGGAGAAAAATTCTAAATTCCCCAGGAAAAAATAATTAATAAAACAGATTTATGCTCTAGAGGCATTTTATATGCCAACAAAAATAAATGGTAATTTAGTCAAGAAATGAGCTTTCATTATCCTCATGCCACCCTAAGTGCTTTTGGCTAAAAAAGAGCTGATTAGTGAAAACCTTTTCTTTTTCTGATTTCTTCTATTAAAGTGTTTTACCAGTATAGAGAAAGAAAGGCAAAATGAACAAGTAGGTTCACTCTTTATAAATAGAATTAAATTAGGAAAGCTGAGCACTTTTATATAAGGGCTGATGGCACAAAGATGCAGAAGACGCGCTCCCTGCTCTAAAGGAGCGCCCAGTCAACGAGAGGTGGACACACACAGCTCTGTAGTGTAGTAAGCGCTCAAAATGAGTATGGATGGGGAGTTATACAGGCTGAACAGAGGGATCAGTAACTCGACAGGGCAGGGTGAGTGAGCAGAAACGTTAGAAAAAGCTGGCATTTGAGTTGTATTCTGAAGGATAAATAGGGATTTTCTTGATGTGCAGGGGAGGAGGAAGGGCAATCTAAGAAGTGGACTCAGTGTGGGGAAAGATCCCAATATGAGAGAGCACGGTATATTCTGGAGATGTGAGGAGTTTCATAGGACTGGGGTGCGGGACAGGTGTAGGGAATGGCAGGAGATGAGGCTGTAGATGAGAAGAGCAACTAAATGGGAGCCATAAGATCACCAAGAGCAGAGCAAATAACTTTTTGTTTTTTTAATCCTGTATAACATCTAGCACTGGGTGCTGAATACACAAAAGCAGGTTGGCTACTATTAAAAACTTTTAAATCTGATATAGCAATGGGAGGCAACCAATGTGAACTCATGCCAGCCTTAGCCATGGAACAGGGTCAGGCTCCCTTGCCCTCCAAGGAACCTTCCTGACTGTTAATGACCTTTAGTTGTAGGATCATGGGGAGGTATGTGTGGGGAAGGGTCTGGGACTGCAAGAGGAACACTCAAAGGTCTCAGGATAGTTGCTGCTTACCCACCGTTATGGAAGTATTTTAATATTTGAAGAACTGGTGCATTCCAATTAAATAACAGCCATGTACAAAGGAGACTGCATTCCTAGTATGCTACAGCAATAAGGCAGATTCCAAATCTACCCTCACAGACGACAAATAACCACCCTCCCTCTCCCCCCCAACATTTCAGTGCTGAAGGAATTTCATAAGTTTCAGTCCTCAGGTGACAGAAGCCAAGGTTCCATTTTAGCTTAGCACTGTCATAAAAATGTAAAGTTTGCCTATGATTTCTCACGTAACAGGATTCTTAACTACTCCTCTGGACTCAAATGAATAGTCACTGTCAGTACACATTACCTTTTAATTTCTTCCTGTGTTTGTTTTATAGATTCAATGGAATTTTGGATGTCTCCCAGTTCTATTCCTTTCTTTCTTCTTGTACTTGGTTTTAGTGATTGAGCTAAAAAGACATTTAGAATGAAGTTGGTTAAAATAGTGACCATAATTACAAACAGTCTACATTTCAGCTTAATGATTCTCACGTAATACAAATTTTCCTAGGCATTATTTTATGGTTAGAGATTAACATACTAATACTCTGCATTTTTGAAGTTTCAATCATATCATTTCAAAACTAGAACACATGACATGTATTTAAGGTAATCACAAATTAGTTAAATTTTGGATGACATCAGTTTTGTTTTTTAACTAATTAAAATAGATAAAATAGTTCACTAAAGGGGCTGCCCCGTGGCCGAGTGGTTAGGTTCACCCACTCTGCTTCGGTGGCCCGGGGTTTCGCCGGTTCGGATCCTGGGCACGGACATGGCATCGCTCATCAGGCTACGCTGAGGTGGTGTCCTACATGCCACAACTAGAAGGACCCACAACTGAAATGTACAGCTATGTACTAGGGGGCTTTGGGGAGAAGAAGGAAAAATAAAAAATAAAATCTTTAAAACAATTAGTTCATTAAAAATACATATATTAATTTGGGGAAGGTATTACTCTCTTCTGTCTCTTGCCCATTTGCCTACATCTGAAGAAGTCAGCTTTCTGAGGTCCCTTTTCAGTAGATTTTGATAGTTCTTCTAGAAATTTTTATTGTCAACCAGCAAACTGTTTTGTTTGTTTTCCCAAATACCCTCTCATATCCATTCTTTCCTTTCCATTTTTGTTCGGATTTTAACCTCTCTCCACGTCTCAGCTTTCTCATTTGTAAAACAGGGATAACACCACTAACTCAGACTTCACACAGTTGTGGTAAGGTGTGTTTAACATCCAGTCTGGCACATGTTAAGTACTCGATAAAGGTCAGCTGATACATTATAGGTAATATAGTGGGGTGGATGAGACAGTGAATTAAGGAACCAAAATACCTGCATATGGAACATATATATACTGCCTTATGGGTATGTCACCTTGGGCAGGTTAACCTGTGTCTCAGTTTCCTTTTCTGTAAAATGGGAACAACAGTATAACTAATACTCTCTTCCAGCACACGAGTACCCCGTGACTCCCTGCTTTTAAACCTTTATTCATTTTCTTCCTCTTCTCCTCCAGTATCTTTCCCCCTCCCTGCAACCCTCAAGCCTAGATCGCTGTGTAATCCATTAGAAATCCTAATAATTCATCCAGGTTCCTCTAAGAACCTTCACTCCAACTGAATTCAGCTTCCTTTCCTTTAAACTCTTTACTACTTTCTCATCTACTAATTCCCTGGCATTTATAATTTATTCACTCTAGTGTTCTCTCTGTAAAAAGGAGCTCCCCAACTTAGTGTGAGCTTAGTAGAGGCTATAGCTTTAGAAAAACTTTATCTCAGAACATCTTTGACATTACCTTAATCTTTTCTTGTAGTTCAAGACAGTTTACACATTATCTGACTTGAATAAGAATGGCACACTAATTTAGTCCATAATTTTGATATAGTTATATTTAGACTTATCTGTGACTTCTAAACACTACAATTTATTCTGAGAATGAAAAATTTTTTTCAAGCATGGAACTGAGCTCAAAGCTCAAAAAATGCTTCCTACACTGAATCTAGGAAATCATCAACAATTTTTCAGAAGCTAACAAAGCATTGGAGCCAGTATTACAGTGTGGTGTGGTGTTTTGTTTCTTTTTGCTGAGGAAGGTTAGCCCTGAGCTAACATCTGTGCCAATTTTCCTCCACTTTATTTGTGAGTTGCCACTACAGCATGGCTGGTGAGTGGTGTAGGTCCATGCCTGGGATCCGAACCTGCAAACCCAGGCTGTAGAAGTGGAGCATGCCAAACTTTACCACTAGGCCGTGGGGTCGGCCCCCAGTGTGCTTCTTGATCTGCATGTTTCATCTTTTTTCACTTCCCATGCCTTTACCTTGTGGCCTGGTCTTGAAATTTATCTATAATGTATAATAGCTTTTCTTGCACACCATCCCTGCTCCCACCAAAACTCTTACATAGCTTCTTGAGTTAATATGAAAAAACACTTTCATATATCAAATACAGTGTAGTAATATCCTTTTAAAAATTTAGATTCTTATAGTGAATAGTCTACAGTAAATATTTTTACCTTCACTTCCTGATGAATCCTGGATATCAGGTTCTGGGGAGGAATAGCCTTTTGCTACTTTCTTCTGTTGCCTGGTTGGCTTATGTTTCATTTTTGGGACACTAACCTAAAAAAAAAATGCTATTATGTGATTTTGCACCAAATTTTGTAATTAAAGACCAATGTTGTACAACTGTCAAAACTATCTGTTCATGAGCACAACATTAAGAAATAAAAACAAAGATGAAATAGTCTACTTAAAATTTAAGAAATAAGATGTAATATACAATCAAATTACTTTATTCAATTTTAATTTAAAGTATAAAAAAATATATAATGAAGAGTTCCCTTCCACTCCTGACCCCTATCCACCCAGTCTCTCCCCGATTAAACAGACACTCACTGCTTTTAGTTTGTATATTCTTCAAGAGACATTTTTGTGCACACGCAAATATGAATATGGATCCCCCCTTTTCTTACTGCACCAGTTAGTACCTCCAGTTGAATGTTAAATAATAGTTTCCTTTTTAATCACACTTATCTTGTTCCCAACATTAGAAACATCCCCAATGAATGATGTTGGGTTTCTAATAAGATTATTTAGATTATTTACTTTTAATAATATCAGGACAATGTTAGAAAGTATCTTATAATAAATGGAAATGATAGTATTTTGCAGAGCATGGTTTAAATTTGCTTAAACTTAAAGTGAAAGTACTTGAGTGCATGCACAAGATTCAAAAGTATATCAAACCATCAACTCGAACTAAATTGTCCTTAAAATAATAAACTTGAGACTCTCTCCTATTAATAAGCTTGCAATTTTGGAAATCAGTCCTAAATGTAAAAATCCAAATGCAAAGGAAGAAACTTGAATCAGAAGAGCACGGTAATTCACATGCTGAGAAAAACAGGGAGTCAGTGGTCCTAAGTCTTTTTACTCTGTTCTTAACCTGTTTACTGTTTAAATAGGAATTATCTCCAATTACCTATTCTTTCAAATAATTTTGCACAATCTTATTCATGTGCTTAAAATTAAAATAAAATTTCCATAATTCTATTATAGAAAATAAATAATAAGCAGGCAGGTTCTGGATTCACCCCACAGTGCACCCTCCTTCTTCAAGTCATGGAGACTTAAAATTTTATAATGTCTAAAAAGACAATGTACATACCATTTCAGATGGTACTGTAAATTGAATTGCGTTCTTAATTTCCTTTTAGGATTGTTCATTGCAGGTATTTAGAAACACAACTGATCTTTGTGTGTTCATCTTATACCGTGCAGCTTTGCTAAATTTGTTCATCAGCTCTAGCATATTTCTAATGGATTCTTTGGGATTTTCTATGTATAGGATCACGTAATCTATGAATATGGTAGTTTTACTTCTTCATTTCCAACTTGCACGCCTTTTTATTTTTCTTGTCTAATTTCTCTAGCTAGAACTTCCAGTACAATGTTAAGTAGCAGTGGTGAAAGTGTGCATGCTTGTCTTACTCCTGATCTTAGGGAGAAAGTTTTCACTCTTTCACCACTGAGTATGTTAAAAAACTTTTTTGATTATGAAAGGATATTGGATTTTGTCAAATGCCTTTTCTGTGTCAATTGAGATGAGCATGTGATATTTCCCCTCACTGCTTATAATGTCATGGTGTGTGTCTCTCTGAGTTTATCCTACTTGTACTTTGTAGAGCTTCTTGGATTTGTAGATTCATATCTTTCACGAAATTTGGGGGACTTCTTTCTTCAAACATTCTTTTGCCTCTTTCTCTTCCTCTTCTCTGAGACACCCTTAATGCATATGATGATCCACTTGATGTTGTGCCATAGGTCCCTTAGGCTCTGTTCACTTTTCTTCATTCTTTTTTAAGACTGGATAATTTCCATTGTCCTAAGTTTAATGATTCTGTCTTCTGCCTGCCCAAATCTGTTGCTGAGTATCTTTAGTGAAATTTTCATTTCAGTTATTGTATTTTTGAGCTCCAGAATTTCTGTTACGTTCTTTTGCATAATTTCTCTTTATTGATACTCTGATTTTGTTTATACATCTTTTTCTTGATTTCCTTTAGTTCTTTGTCCCTGTTTCCTTTAACACTTTGACCATATTTAAGAAAAGTGTTTTAAAGTCTTTGGTAAATCTGATATCTGGACTTAATCAGGGATGATTTCTGTCAATTTATTTTGTTCCTTTTAAACAGGAAGCTGTTTCTTTGTATGCCTTGTAATTCTTGGTTGAAAACTGAACATCTGAATCCAAATCCACATTCTTAGAGTTGGTTCAAATTGGAGGTTGATGAAGACTGGTGAGAAGCCATTAATGACAAAGGGAGTCAGCACTCTAACTCTTGGTATACAAAGATTTATTGTAATCAGTAAACTCTACCTTTAGGAGGAAATACAGATGCCCTGGGTGTCTCTATCATGTTAGTGTTGTTAAAGGAAGAAACAAAATTTAAAATGTTTTTGAATTTGTAAATTGTGATAACGTGTGTGTGTATATACATATATAAATTTTACTGTTTTAAGTGCACAATTCAGTAGTACTAAGTATATTCACAATATTGTGCAACCATCACCACTACTTCCAAAACATTTTCATCATCCCAAACAGAGACTCTGTAACAATTAAGCCATATCATCATCTGAGCCTTCTGTAAGTTGTAATCTTTTTGCTGGTGGAGGGGTCTTGCCTCAATGTTGATGGCTGCTGACTGATCAGGGTGGTGGCTGCTAAAGGTTGGGTGGCTGTGGCAATTTCTTAAAATAAGACAACAACGAAGTTTGCTGCATCAATTGACTCTTCCTTTCAAGAATGATATCTCTGGGAGGAGGCGTAGCAAAATGGCGGGATGAGCTGACCTGGGACTCTCTCTCCTCCAAATTACAACAAAAGATTGGAAAAAAACTGAATTTCAGCTAATAAACCTAATGCCAGATGGTCAGAGACCTACAGCACCAAAAAGACAGAGGACGGAGAGGCTGCTGCCGGCCTCAGAGGAGCTGGAATGGGGTAAGAGAGAACTTTGCTCCCTCCCCTAGAGACTGGGATTGCTGCCGTGGGTGCGGGAAGGAGCAAGGGAGGGGCCGTGCGACTGGGGAATCATCCAGGACTCCTGCCGCCAGTACAGTGGAAACCCGCTGACAGGGGAAAGCTTCTGTGTGTGGGGACCTCATCATGCCAGGGCCCTGGGAGTCCAGAGAACAGAACTGATCCGAATCCAGATCGGCAGGTGAGAAAAACAGCCCCTCCGCCCACCTCTGGCAAACTGTGCTGGGTGCCGCCATCTTGCCTGAAGGCGGAGAGCTCAGACTGCACGGCTCTCGACCCCCATCTAGTGGCGACAGGCTGTAACTGCAACTGAATTCTACCATCATGCAAAAAAACCGCTCCTCTACCATCCAGCAATTTATAAAAGCCCCAGACCAGAAGTAAAACAATAAAAACAGAATTAAGTCCTGAGGACTTGGAAATAGGTAAACTAAGTGAAAATGAGTTCAGAGTAGCTATAATCAAAAAAGTCAGTGCAGTAGAGAGAAAGATAGAGAAACAAGCCAACGAGTTCTGGAGTTACTTCACAAAAGAGACTGAAATTATAAAGAAGAATCAAACAGAATTACTAGAGATGAAAAACACAATGGACCAGATAAAACAGAATACGGATTCCCTGAATGCCCGTGTAGACACCGTAGAAGAGCAAATTAGCATAATCGAAGATAGACAGGCTGAATGGCTCCAGACAGAGGAAGAAAGAGAACTAAGAATTAAAAAAAAATGAGGAAAATCTCCGAGAGATAGTGGATTCAATGAGGAGAAAGAATTTAAGGATCACAGGAATTCCCGAGAACGTGGAAAAGGAAAATGGAGCAGAAAGTGTGCTTAATGAAATTATAGACGAGAACTTCCCAAATCAAGGGATTGAAGGAGAAATGTGTGTAGAGGAAGCTTTCAGATCTCCCAGATTTGTCAATGCAAAAAGACCTACTGCAAGGCATATAGTAGTACAAACGGCAAAAATGAAAGACAAAGAAAGAACACTCAGGGCAGCAAGACAGAAGAAAATAACCTACAAAGGAACTCCTATCAGACTTTCAGTGGATTTCTCTATAGAAACCTTACAAGCTAGGAGAGAATGGAGTGACATATTCAAAACTTTAAAAGATAAAAATCTTCAGCCAAGAATACTCCATCCAGCAAGAATATCCTTCAGATATGAGGGAGAAATTAAATCTTTTCCAGACAAACAAAAGTTAAGGGAATTTGGAACCAAAAATCCTCCACTACAAGAAATCCTCAAGAAGCCTCTCATACCTGAAAAAAGAAAAAAGGGAGATAGGGGTCACAACCACAGAGTAGGGAGACAGACAGATAGAACCAGAATAGGATAGCAAATATTCAACTATAGCATTAGGATAAAGGTAAGGAAACTACCAAAGCAAAGACGATCTTATCACTCTAACTACAAACTCATAACACGAGTTGGAATAAGAAATGAAAATAATAATTTAGGAGGGGAAGAGCAAAGGGACTAAATCAGTCTAGGCCAAATAAGTAAGAGACCACCAGAGAATAGACTATATTATACACGAGATTCTAAATATAAACTTCAGGGTAGCCACTAAACTAAATAACAGAACAGAGCCACAAAACATAAATAAGGAAAAATCTAAGAAACCCAGCATAAGAAATTGCAGTAGTCAATGGGTAGGCTAAAGCACACAGGACGAGATACAAAAGTAATGCAGGAAATCCAGATAACGAGCGACAGATTGTCAGCATTAAGTCCACATGCATCAATAATCACCCTCAATGTAAACGGATTGAACTCTCCAATAAAAAGACACAAAGTGGCAAAATGGATTAAAGAACAAGATCCAACAATTTGTTGCCTCCAGGAAACACATCTCAGCCCCAAGGACAAACGCAGGCTCAGAGTGAAGGGGTGGAGGACAATACTTCAAGCTAATAGCAAGGAAAAAAAGGCAGGTGTTGCAATTCTTATATCAGACCAAGTGGATTTCAAAATAAGACAGGTAAAGAGAGACATAGAGGGACAATACATAATGATCAAAGGGACACTTCATCAAGAAGAAATAATGCTTATAAATATCTGTGCACCCAACACAGG